CTATTTAAGGACCTCCAAATTAATTGTCAGGTGTGTCTGATTAGAATTTATGGTGCCTCCACAGTATTCTGAATTCCGATTCAGCTCCAGCTCACTGATGCTTCCCCATCCCATCTGCGCAGCTCAGTCCAACACATCATTGGATTCCTGGAGCAGCCTCCTCAGGTAATATCACCGTTAGAAGGCCTATTGTCTATTCCAAAGCTAACTACTTTATTCTTAAGTCCTTGTAAGAGTATGTGAATGATTGGCTGTCTTAGTGTGTGTGATCCTCAATAAATTTACAATTCATTTGAATAAGCGTTGCCTCTGCTGATTTACTGTCCCTAGCCCCCTCTGTATCAATTAGGATGTATCTTGGCTAAATAATTGAGCTATTAAGATTCCCCTGATCCGGGTCTCATAATAGTATGTTGCAAAATTTTGCTTGTGTGGGAAATTAATGCTATAGTCCTATAGTTGCTGCAATCTTTTGTGTCTCCTTTTTTTGTAGATGGGATCAGTATTGAACTTATCCAGTCTGTTGGCCACTGTTTTGTTTTCCGTATTTGTTGGCATATTTTAGTTAACACTTGGGCTGATACTGTCTGTGTGGATTGTATCAGTTCAGTCCAATGTCTATTAATTGTTAATTAGTCATCTATTCTGCTGCTTAGCTGTGTCTGCCTTGGAGCAAGAAGGTGACACATTAAATTGCCATATTCCTCACTCAGAAGTCCTCACGGTTGAGCTTTCTTTTTGAGTTTTAATTGTTACTTGTAAGTTTATTGATTTTGATTATACAATCATACTTATGAGTGTTAGTTGTCTTATAAAGAATAAAACTTGTACTAAAATAGAATTTATAACTGATGTTTATAGTTATTTATGCCAATCTTTGATGTCTTTCTATAATGGAAATTCCTTGCATTTTATTATTCTTGGCACAGCTACAATAATGGATGCACAGTGTTGTTAAATATATTCTAGTTTCACTTAAAATGATGCTGCCAGTCTACTTAAGACATAGAGCTGAGGAAGATCTTTATACAGACTTGGTATTATCCGAACTATACTATGCATAAAAATATTTTGTCATTTCTAAGAGTTCAGAAGAGGAATAGTTATCAAATAGAGTTGGTGTAATTTAATATCTAAGGCTGAAATCCTATGAGTAAACTTCATTGAACTCAAAGGCTTACATCTCAGAATGTGGCCCTGAGTTCACACAGCAGAGTGCTGTGGGGGAGAAGCCACCTTTTCTGGCAACATGCCAGAACACTGAGTGTGTAGGGATAGAACCAGTTTTATTTTTAGAAGCTCTCTCTGTCCCCTTTGTGTTGTCTTCTCAATGCCAGACTTAAGTGATCAGCATCATTTTTTCCTTTTTTTAAATTAAATTTTATTATTCATTAAAAACAACATATTGAAAATATCTTATTCATACAATCATATACACTCACACCCTTATCCATAAACCTTGTTTCTCAATCATTTTTTTCTTTCCTTTTGGATGGATGAACCTAGGCTTTGGGATGCCCTACAGGTATATCTCCAATTGGAATTGGAGTTTATTTTCAGGGCTGGTGATGCATTCAGATTTGGCCAGAGAAATAGATGGAGACAGGTCTAAAGCATAATCTTACCTTTTTGGAGTTTATCAAGACACCATGGGTGACTTTAGGATTCTCCAGGCATTGGAAGGTTGGTCACATAAGTGTGGCAGAGTTTCCGCACATAATTATTACTTTATATTAATAAAATGCTATTTTCTGTGCAAAATAATCACAATTTTATTAAGTCCCCAACTACAGCATTTTATGAGCATAAAATCTATGTGTTGAAATATTATTTTCTGTGCAGGAAATGTTCTTTCCTTTGTAGAAAATGTTGTTTTTTTTAATGGGAAAATACCACTGCACATTTTGCACAGAGTTTCAGACTTTGAACAATGTGTGAAAACTGCGCATATTTCAAAAACTTATTCAGGAGGAAGCAAATAGGTAAACTTACCCATTGATTTGTTTAAGAATGAAATTAATGAAAAATTACACACCTACTTCATAGACAGCATGGCACGGTGATCTAACCAGGATGGAACTAAGGCACACATCACCACGGACAGATCAGATTCTGTAGTAAGGGGTGCAGATGGTGTATTGGCTTTAAATGTGCAAATGAAAATGGCTACTGCAGGGTTTAATCCAGGATTTCACCCAAATAGGAAAACTAAATCTTTTGGAGGATTTTAACACCACTTTGCTGTTGTTGCTGTATGCCTCCAAATCATTTCTAATTTATGACAAGCCTAAGGCAACCCTAGGGCATGAGAGATTCTTTGGCAAGAATTATTCAAAGCTAATTTGCCATGGTCTTCCTCTGAGGCTGAGTGTGATTTGCCTCTTTGGAAAAACAGGGATGCAAATTCTGGCTTCTCAAAGCCCAAATCTAGCACTCAAGCCACTACAACACTCACATCACTACATCACCTGACTATCCTTTTGACTGACTTGGAACATCTATCTCTTTTCTGTTTTAGACTTCATCCCCATCCCACCCATAGTTGATGTCAGAACCAAACATCAGCAATTTAAAATAACAATACCTTGCTTGGATTGAAATGGGAAAAATAGATTTGTGCATCATCAGCATATTTGTGACACCAAGACCTTAATCTTTGGGCAAACACTTTCAATGGTTTTATGTAAATCTTAACAGCATGAGAACAAGACAGAGTTCTGAGGAACTCCACAGGTATATTGAACAGGAATCCCCACTATCATCTTCTTAAACCATCCCTCCAAAAAGTACCAATGTCATTGCAAAGCAGTTTCTTGAAGTTCCACCTCAGAGAAGAAGCTGAGAAGAATCCCATGGTTGATGATACTGAAAGTCATTGAGCAGTCCAACAGCACAACAAGGACATACTTCATCTGTCAAGTCTCAAGTCTTTTGTCATCTACTACAGTGACAAAAGCTGACTGCATCCCATACTGAGGCCTTAATATTCTTTGAAATGGATCCAGATAATCTGTCTCCTCAAGGAACTCTTAGAGCAGAGAGGCCACCACACATTCCAGAAACTTGCCTGAACTATGAATAATTAAAGCAATTAAAAAAATCATTTTGTTGTTGTGTTCCTTATGGTCATTCTGACTCACTGCATTGGAGCAGCATGTAGTGTGTTATGGGAGGAGGTCAATGGTGTGTGTGTGTGAAGAACACATAGAGCAGGGAGGTGCCGGAGGACGCTCGGAGG